ATGTGGTGTGAAATGAAAGACCTTCATTTTTGCCATGACGACTTCAGTTTAAACCCCCCTGATGGACTACTCGACGAGTACTCATTTCCTTGGTTGGGCTTCACACAATACTTACATGGTATGTTCAATGTTGAAATAGGATAAAATAGCTCATACTGTGCGATATATTTTATTTGGTTCGGTTTCTAATTGTTAAGTTTAATAATTTAAAATCTGTCGACACTCAACATTTAAGTGAATGATTTAGCAATAGAAACCTTTAAATGACTTGACAGACAAAATATTATTGACTACATGTACATGTTACAATTTATTTTTTCAAGATTAGACATATTTTTCGGCTAAAAAAAATGACATTTCATGTTTACCTTTTGCTCTCATTTTTCATTATTTGTGTCGGTCTGTGGTATCGTAACTTTCAAGTGCGACTTGTGTCTCTAATCTCGAAAGGTGATTGGCCCCCGTAAGGCACGGTGTGGTTACCTGTTTATCAGATGCCCTAAGTCTGAAAGGGTTCTCGGAGGATTTCAGTATTAGTTACAATGTCCCTTACACCTTATATATATATATATATATATAAATATTGTAGCATCTTATTTACACTAATATGTAATTTATAAAAGGCAGTCAATTTGAAAGCATGTGTTTGTTTACAGAGATGACCGGATTGTTACATCCTAATATAGCGCCACGTGTAGTCCTTGTTCATAAACAATTCGTCATTGCCAGTGCTAGAGAAATGCTGAAACTGCCTAAGCACTACAAACTGTATGTATGTTACAGGTGGTTCTATTACTAGAAAACATAACATCGTACAAATCTCTCCATAATTTTAGAAAAGGATGTTTCATAGTAGTGATTATTCTGGTCTAAGTCATCACTTTTACATTTGTGTTATGTACAAGTGAGTTACGAGACCCAAATTGATTAAAATACATTTTTGAGAAAACCCCTAAGTAAAACGACTTATTTAGATAATTATATACGTTAGCGTTACCTCTGACTCTAATTCTTTTATAAGCTATACGTCACCTAAAGAGACTTACGAAATTAAATCCAATCCGATCGAAAGTGAATGGAAGTTTCAAAAGATTGTAAAATAACTTGAACATAATTTTTATATTCCATAAATCAGAACCTATTCGACACCGGCTAGTAATCAAATATGAGCAATACTTTTAAATTTTTAATGGACAATACTTGATTAATAGAACGTTTAGTTTAAGTTCTAGTTATCATAGTCAAAAGTACCACCTAAATTAGTCAATAATGTATTCATTTTAAATTGCTGTTTTTAGCATTTTATTACCTGCATGCTTTTACCTTAACACATTCTTATTTTTAATTTACTAATACCAGTTTTTTTTACTGTCCTAATTCCAGAGGGAATATGATATTTGGTGATTATGAACAGGAAGGAAAAGATTGTGACCTGACTTCTGATGATATTATGATGGGCAAAAGATGTCCACGGGCATATATGGAAATGCCGTTTAAGGAAATATTACCACACCCAGAGTTCTCTAGGTACTAGACTATTTCTGGTAGATATTATCCAAAGAGCACCTACGTATTATTTTTTGTAAGTTGTTACGTGCACACCTTTTGGAAATCTGAATTTCAGGTTAATTTAAATTAACTGTCTCTGACTGCTCTCTACACAAAATTGATAGGTAGTGTGTCTATACACACAGACATTTTGCAATGATCACAATGATTGGTATTTAGAGCGCATATTATACAAGTGAATTTGTCAGTCATATATTTAAATCATTCTTTATTTCGGCACATCACAATAAATAACCACAAACGTTTTGTAGATTTAGAGTCAACAACAGCGTAGCGCTGGTGCAATTGCTTCGCCCAATGAAATCTCGTAAGTATTAAAAAACTAAAAAACACGCTTTTATACTACATGTTAGTGTATGTAACACAGACCCTGTATTTCGGAATAGAACTATTAAGAAATATTTTATGTTATTATTAAATTATTTAATGTCATCGATACTTAACAGGTGTGCAAAATTTTAAATTAATCTGACCTTTTAAAGGATGTAAAAATGAAATTCAAAGATTCCATTACATTCATTCAGGTAAAGCTAATAAAAGCGTGTTAAAAACTGTAACACTTTATCTAAAAATCACAAATAATTATATAACAATCACAATCACATAATTATAATTACAAATATGATACGGGACCCACTTAAGAGAGTTTTTTTTAATCATCAAAATCTTGATTATAATTCAAAATTATATTTATTTAAGTTTTTCTTCAGATTTTGTGTTGCCGGCCTGCCTTCCAACTATAGAAGAACGTACAAGAAAGAAAACCTATAATACTGTATTCCTAATAGATTACATTAGCGGTATGATCTTTATTCATTGTTCTAATAATATTCATGGCAAACTGTTTTATTTGAAATGGTTGAGTTGCAGGGATAGATTAAGCATTCAACATAAGCTTCATGCAGGGTTGTTAGTTAAAATTAATGAAAAGCTTTTACACTAACAGTGATAATAATAATAATATTTTCAGATATCTGAGACTCAACGCTATCTAGTTTCAAACTAAGCAGAGCTTGTACTATAAAAGCTGTATAAGGTTCTAAACTTTATGTAGTTTGTTAAAAATTAAGATTATTAAAAAAATAATTAAACACATTAATTCCACAGCGGTACCTAGAGACTTCGATTTTGAAAAAATGGGAAAGCGGACTCTTCAGCTTTATAAAGATACAGATTGTATGAGATATCATAACAATACGGTAAAGTATATATTGAACTATTGAAATAAAACAATATTTAAAGGTTATCCTTTTGGACTTATTTATGAATGGATTGCTATCTTCGTCTAGGAATTTCGACTTTCACAAAGTGGGTAAAAGTGAAATATTATTTCACATTACCATTATGACAAAAAAAAAACCTAATTATTAAAGTTTCTCTGCGAGCTAAATTATTATTTATAATTGTATTTAAATGATTAAATTATTATATTTATTATTCAAAACAACGAAATTCTCCTAATTACCAATTGTCATATGGATAGAATATTTCTCCTTTATGGTTTACACAATAAACGGTTTTTTATACTGAGTAGTGCGTTTCGGCAAGCATAATTTGAAGTCGAACTGAGTTAAAGATCACAGATGATAATGTGATCAAATATTAAGTTCTTCATAGCTTGCAATAAGGAATACAGCACAATATAATTGATCATAATTTTAAAGTTGATGATGATTTTTAAAGATAATTCTAGTTATTATACTGTTAAATCAGATGATGATTGTTTTCATGTTTTGAAATAAGATCAAACCAAAATTATTTAAATAAAATCTATCTAGCCATCTTTCTTTTTATGGTCTAGTCTCAGCACATAAATATATTTTTAGATGATGGGCAACAAAGACCTCTCGCAGTTTTTATGCACTTCAGGTTGCGGAATGCGACCAGGCACACCAATTATAAGCCATGCACCAGACGGGCGGTTTGAGGTCATTGGTATAGCGGTTGGTGGATCACGATGCGTAGATCATGAAATGCGTCGCAGTTTCAATGAAAACCCTCCCTTCTACATTGACGTATACCCTTATGTTCCGTGGATCATTAATGTCATAAACGCTCATAAAATTCCTAAGCCTTATCCTGAACATTTCCAATTGCTTGAAGGAGGTTCTCGTAAGTATCAAAATATTATCGACAGCAAAATATTTAAAAGATAGTTTAATAATTTTATTTTAAAAGCCCATTCATATGTCACTGAAATTAATTTTTCATGTAGTTCTTACAAATATCTTATTCATTGGAAACGAGTTATTCTGATTTATTAATTTCCTCGATTTGTGACGAAGAATTAAAGTGCAAATAGGTGTAAGATTACTCTGACTATTAAAACAAGAATGTTGTTTATCGTAGCATCTTGTTATAAAATTTTGTTCTTCATATATTTTTACTTGTAATAAAGTAATAAAAATTAACTGAAGTCATTTCAAGGGTTATACTCTCTGACGTCATATACGAAGTGCATAATCTTATTCAAGGTATGGGTACGAGGCGCTCATCCCCAGCATCACCTAAGTCTGGCTGGAAAGGTCGTACATACTTGTTAGGTAACAATTGTTTTGGAAGTTACAAGGTACGTAAGGAGGCTATTCTTTTCTACATGGAAAAGTTTGAAGCGCGGGCCACTACTGACATCCTTCCTACGACTCTAAATATTACAGTCAAGGTACGTAAAGCTTTTTTTTTCTTTAATCACTTCTTCGCGTATCAACCAATATGTATGTATGTAATAATTTTGTATGAAAACTTCTTATGAAGAGCGAGAGAGAGAAGAGATTCGTGTAATCGTTTATTTCTTAATCACGTTTATTTTATTCTGAACTTTCTAAACCATTGTCTTCTGTACCTTTCATATTGATAGTCGCAACACTAATAAAAATCACTTTTTGGCTTCGATTATGTTGAAGAAAGTTTCACAATAGAAAATATCGGGGCAAGCAGTTTCTTTTGTAAATTACTAACTGATATTAAACATGAAAGAAATTCAGGTAATGTTCTTATTTCAAATACACTTAAATTTTTAATTTTGTATCACTTAATAAACGATTGCACAGTGATTTGTCATCAAAAACAAATATATTTTATAGTGTACACAAGGAGAAATAAATTCATGCATCAATCATCATCAATTCATCATCATCTGTTTTATATAAGGTTCTTTTTTAAATAAATACAGTTTTGAAATTCATCTTAATCCGCACCTCCTACTATTATACCTACCTCCTTACGTATGTACCAACAACATCAGTTTAAATCAATAGCAAAACTACTGAAAGAATGTTTGCATTAGATACCTAATGTTTGACGACCGGATGGCGTAGTGGTTTGTGTAACGGACTGCTATTCCAAAGGTCGCGGGTTCGATTCCCGCTCAAGTCAAACATTTGTGTGCATGAACATTTGATGTTTGATTTGGTCTGGGTGTTTCTATGTATAATATGTATGTATTTACAAAAAAAAAAGTATATATGTATTTATATCAGTTGTCTAGTACCCATAGTACAAGCTCTGCTTAGTTTGGGACTAGATGGCATTGTGTGTATGTGGTAGAATATTATTATTATTATTATTTACCTACACACCGAGATTTCTTGTAAATGTGATCATTAATTAAAATCAAACTATTGTTTTACAGATATCTTCAGGAATTGAATGTGTTAATGCTTGTTATCGTATCCTGCTTCCTCATCGATTGATTAAGCCGATAACTAAAATAAAAGGCATGATCTTTACTTTAAACTTGAACGTAGTTGCATTTTCGAAAACATTTTATTTTTCTCTTGGTATCTCAGGAAAGAAAGCCAGTCAACAGGTTTATAGGGCAAGAAAACAAAAGATTCCTAATCTAGATTAGGCTCCACGCTAGTAAAGCCAAATTGAATAAAAATATTACCAATATGTGCATGTGTTTATTTATTCAGCATACTTCGTGGTTAAATGATATTTGCTTACCCCGATCCTAGTTTGAAAAATATAGATTGAGAATAATCAATTGTTTAATACAATTATAATACAGTAACAACCGGGTTCGTGTGGTGACGGATTAAGAATACAAATTGTCACCACCCCAATTGGGGTGTCGTAAGAGCCGACTAAGGGAGCAAACTAAGCAGGACAACAGCACTGCAAAGAGAAGGAAAACTTGAAACAAACCCTATACCAACCCGTCTGGCCAGCGTGGTATAATAGGCCAAAACCTCCTTTCTAAGGAGAGGCCTATGTCCAGCAGTGGACTAGTATAGGCTGTTGATGTGTGACAGTAACAACACAAAACAATTAAAATACAGAAGTGGTTAAGTTCACGACACTTTTTATTAGTGCAAACAATATGACCCGGTAGTCTTAATCCCGAACAGTCATATATTTACTACGATGAATACCTTCTATACCCAATTTTTGGATATTAAACATTATTCATTATAAATAGGACTACCTTAAAGGGCAGTGTGTCGAAGCCACAGAACGAGGCCTCCATTGTGTAGGATCCAGATACTCCTAATTGACGCCATACTTTCTCTTTCTCTCTTTACTCGGCAGAAACACGAGCCGAGAACAAACGCCAGAGATGTAAGTTGCATGAGCGCTTTCAAAAAGTGTATAAGAAAGAGAAGTAATTTAAATTAAAAAAAAACCATTATATTCTGATTTAAGACATTGTAGGAAATACAACATAGTTACAAGGACTTATCGGTCGGTGATTCAATATAAAAATGACATCTACTAAAGTTTTAATTAAACACTGAGTAACACATATTTTAATGAGAATAGTATTCCTCATGTATTGTTTTTGTAGGTTACTGCATTCAAATATTTTTTTCCTGTCATAAAAAAATTTACGAAATATTATTTTAATAATTTTTTATCCGTACCTTATCAGTCACCTTCTCTCTTCAAACAATTATAAACATACAGAAGATTATATAGATTATATCTATATACACCGTGGTACCAGAGTTATGGCAAAGCTTTGAATCACAGATTACACAGTTCAATATAAGTCGGTTAAAAAAAAAACAATTGTATAAAATACTGGCAGCCACGATGTATCGTAGCTACCAGTGAATACGATTGAATGCAATTGACTTACAAGCTACAACTAGTGTGACTTTCATAGTCAATGTAATATTGTGTAACCTTAAACGAAAATAAAATTAAATGCTTATTATTATTATTTCTGTTAAGGTCAAACAATTTTGAGAAAATATATGTTTACCGAAGATTCCTCCAATTTTAAATTGAGCAACACATGCTTTCGGAAATCAAATGAAACTTTCATTTTCAAATTATTGTAACAAAACGAAATATTAATCCAATGAGGAATCATCCATCTGTCTTTGTATTACTGATTAACAAATTAAGAACAGTGGAGCAATGGATTGAATTATGTCTGAAATCTTTCTAACGTAAATACATTAATAGGAGGTACGACTAGCGTGTAGATACGAGTGACTACAAATAATACCGCTGGTGTTCTTTGTCATTGGCAATCGCCTAACATGAGCGGTGCCTGGTTGCCTTTCAATTTTGTCATATTAAAAATGCAATCTTCGCCGCATGAAAAAGGGGTTAATTTGGTTCAGTCTACTAAAACTGCACTTTTACCTATACTAATAAATCCATAACATGGAAATAATTGTTGTTTGTTTAGTACATAAACAAAGATCGATTACTCGCAAAGTTATAGTTATTTTACTGCAAGTAAACGGTATCCTGTTTATTAGAAATTCAATAGCCAATAAACAGGGTGTAAGGTGTCTCCTATCAAAAATAAACAGAAAACGATGCAACTGATTTTGTAATGAGTGATATGCTGCAGTGCTGTGTGTATAATCGGTAAATTAGTTGCAGTTGCTTTTCAATACAACTTTTACTAGCAACGGTAATGTCCAAAAGGATAGTCTATACTTTAAACCTGTTATTATCGAGTGGTAAGTGTCTTTTCGTATTTAATCATTCTCCTTTCAGATCTTTGAAGTCACTATAATTTTCATCAGTGTGAATGAAGTTTTATAATTTGCTTACTTTACCTTACATGCAATAGGAATGTAAAGTAAGTTAAAAAAAAATCCTTACCTTATCTTCTACACTAGTAAAGAAAATCTGTAGGATGGAAATGTAGATGCAAAGAAAAATATAGTATTCATTGTCATCATCATCAACAGCCTTTAACAGTCCACTGCTGACCATAGGCCTCTCCATAGAAAGGAGATCCTAGCTTACTATATCACGCTGGCCAGACGGGTTCGTAAAAAGTTTGTTGCAAGTTTTCCTTCTCTTTGCAGTGCTGTTGTCTTACCTAGTTTGTTCCCTTAGTCGGCTCTTACGACACCCACGGCATGAATAGGGGTGGCGACACTCCGTATTCTTAATCCGTCACCACACGGTCTATATACTATACAGTTCAAGCAAAACTAAACTATTTTTAAACTTCCCTCCCGCCTGGTGAATTGGCTCTATAATATATGTTTGTGGTTGTTCGAAGAAAGTTAGAAAAAGGATAAGAGTTATTGTTCACTAGTCGAGAAATACCTATGACAAATTCATGTAATTTAGGATGTTAAATGCTTAATTATGATTGATTTTATAGAATGGAGTAGAATAGAACAGTGTCTATTAATTTTATAAGAGGAAAATTATCCGTTTATGTCTTTCCACTTTTAAGTTGCATGATTGTAAAGTGCAATTCTAGATGAAATCCAATAAGCACATGCACCCTTTGAATTTAGTATGTTCAAGACATCAATGAATAGTAAAGTGTTATCTGTCTGTCTACTTAAGTGAAACTTAACGGCAACCGCTATGTATCTTTTGTCTAACATGGTAGTTAGATTTGGTATACTTTTACAGCGGATAAGTCAATGTACCAAGAGTCATATATTTAATAAATAGGAAAAAGCATAGCCACCTTCCTTCCTCCGAGCATCCCTAAACTTTGATTTATTACGTAAAGCAAGCAGCCATCAGATCACAACATAAGTACTAGGCGATACCGAAGTTCTGTAGAAAGACTATTGTCGAACTTTTAGGACTTCATCATGATAAACAGCCTTTAGTAGTCTACTCCCTGGACATATCATTAGGTTTGTTGCAAGTTTTCCTTGTCTTTGCAGTGCTGATGTCCTACCAAGTTTGCTCCCTTAGTCGGCTCTTATGACACTCACGGGGCTCTTATGACACACGAATTAAGGATTTTGACTAAACTAACCGTAACGATTATCACAAATGTTAGTATGGCAAAATATATACAATAATATATTTCTTTTAGTTTGGATTCGACCGACATGGTGTGGAATGAGCGAAATCAACATTTGTCACGACGACTTCAACTTAAACCCGACCGATGGAGTTCTGAAAGACCAAACATTCCCTTGGTTGGGCTTCGCCCTGTATATACACGGTTTGATCAATTCTAACATATTTGAGTATTATACAATAGGACAAGGTAATGAGAAAGTTCCTATGATAAATATAAATTAATCAATAATATTTGTATCACGTATGTCATTCGTTTGGGAGCTTCTTATTTTTTGTCAAATGTTCTATTAATATTGATTGTTATATCATTAAAATTAAGGAACTTGGCGGACGCAAGTCCTAATTTTCATTTCATCCAAGTTTCTAGAAAACTTAGCGTTAGACATTTAACATAGAAAAACTGATTTGACTTCACTGAGAAATGCAACTTCTACAACGTTTTCTTCTAAATCCAATATATTTGATAGCACTATAATTCTTTTCTAATTTAAATTGTAACACCGTACAAATACATAAAAAAATTATCATTTTAAAATTTAGCAATACCTAAATAAAAAAAGTAGACTTGCAACGAATAGTATATTCGGCAGTATACCGAATACCGAATATTCGGCGAGGCCCCTGACCGAATAGCCGAATATTAGGCAAAAGTATTCGGCTGGATTTTAGCGCCAAAAACTAGTACAGACGTGAATTAAATTATGTACCTGTTTTATGTACCAATGACTACTTAATAAATGATTATAAAAGAAATGAGAACCTTACCCTTCTAAATTTTGATTACCACAATAATTCAAATACATAGAATCCTCCATTTTTCCAATTCAGAAGATGATTATGTACCTGTGTTATGCACCAATGACTACTTAAATGATTATAACAGAAATGAAAATATGAATATATACGTAATCAATCGATTTTAATTTTTCATTTTACCAATTATTTCTCAATGACAAAATATATTATTTAAGTATTCGGTATTCGGCCGAATAATATGTAGATATTCGGTATTCGGCCGAATATAATAAAAGCAGCCGAATATGCCGAATAACGAATAGTAACCGAATATTCGTTGGAAGTCTAAAAAAAAGTATATACGGATGTCATGCCTACTCAATTTTGTGTTCACAGAAGTGACTGGAATCTTGCACCCTGCTAGGGCGCCGCGTGTGGTCCTCGTCCACAACCAATTCGTCCTAACAATGGCAAGAGATGTGTTAAAACTACCTAGACTCTATAAACTGTATGTATTTCACTTTTGGATAATCTGTTATGCATACAATCGTTTCCCTGATGATAACACTACGAAGCATTGATAATTTCGCAACCACATCTACGCACAACTACAAACTGCATATCTACCTAATTAACAACACACGGTATTGTATGGTACCAGGATGCTCCGAATAGTATTACTGACCGTGGGTGTGTGACTCTAGCCACACGATTAACAAGTTACTAAGAATTAGAAAACGCTATTAAGAAGTTTTTTCATATAATTATCGAATTGAGAAATTTCATTCCGCGATGCAGAACCTATAGCTATTTCGTAGTTACACTCATCGTTGTTTGCAGATGTTGAAATACATTTTTTTCTGTACGTGGAAGCCAACACAAATCAACCTACAAGCCATGTTTTTTATTTACACATACAGATCTACAAAAGAATACAGAATACATCGTCATCACTATAAATAGGTAGTTTCGGTTAGAAGGTTCGAAGTTTGGACCAGGACCTTGACTATCTTTTTCCTACCTATATTCACAATTAACCCATCTAACTCCTAAAGTAACCGATTGATTACAATATGCACTTAAATTTTTGTCATTTCTAGCGGTAATGTGATATTTGGTGAATACGAACGAGAAGAAAAAGATTGTGGCCTTACATCTCAAGATATTTTGAAGGGCTATAAATGTCCACGTGCTTTCATTGAAATTCCACTAAATGAAATTTTACCACATCCAGAATTCTCCAGGTAAAACTGAGCTTCCTAAGATTCTGATTACTTACCTATTAACCATCATTATCACTCTTCCTATTATTTTAATTACCTTAGGTTACCAAAAATGGATCTAAAAGATAAAACTAATTTGTTGCAGATTTGGAGTACAAAATAGCTTAGCACTGGTCAAATTACTTCGGCCTATGAAATCCTGTAAGCAACATTTTTCCCATTTTTCAATTATATAATGATCTTTACAACGGAAAGGCGGACTGGCTACAAATAAATACCTACCAATATTTTGTGTCCGTGTCCACCCCATGTCTTGCTCATCATGCACTAGTACTACTTTTTCAAGAGTTTGCATTTTTTTATAACGAGCGGCTCGATTCTGTAATAAGTAATTCTCGTCTTGTAAAAATATCTGAAAAGAATTTACTTGCAGAAATAAATATAATTTCATTTTATAGAGAAAAAGTATTGTGTATTGAGCACATTAATTTATAGGTTATCTGCGTGTAGTCTTGTACTTATAATTCGTCGATTTAATATTAAGTCGTATTTACTTGAAAAAATATTATTACCTTTACAATAAGATGTATGTATTCGTTGAACAGAGACTAATACTTATAATACGAGTACATATGTACTTTTAATTCATAAATTATGCTTTTCAGACTACATGGTCCCACTCTGCCTACCAACATTAGAGGAACGCCTGATAAAGAAAAAACTGAATACCGTATTCTTAATAGACTATATAAGTAGTAGGTTTCATTTATTGACTAGTTTTTGCCTAAAGCTTCGCTCGCGTAAAAGTAATTTTACCATCTCTCAGGCACGTTTCATTTTCTGGATGCAAGGTATCAAATATTCTTTCTTATATCCTTGGCAACGGGTAGGCAAGACTACATGGTAATCGGATAAACGTTAGTTTTTATTTATAACATTTTCTTTAGTTCTAGTTTAGGACTAAATAACCGCGTGTGAGGTGTAATAAATAATAGTTAAGAAATAAATTAAAAAATACGCATTTGTGACTAGCCAAACTAAAAAGTAGAAAAATCTGTAAGTACCTTGAAAAAAAAAGAATTAAAAAAAAAATATTTTTATCGTAAAAAAGCGTGAGGTTTTAGATGTCAATTGTTGTAAAATGATTTATTGACAGATATTGTAAAAGTAAAGTCATTATATCATAAAACATCATAAAAAACACCCCACGTTGATAAGTCACTCATTCAACAATAATTATAATTATTACAGCATACTACATAGAAACATTGATAGATACTTGTACTAACAAATCAAAGAAACAATAAGTATTAAGCTTTTAATGTTATCAGAACAGGCGTATATAACACTACTATGTGTAATACATCTTGCTCTAATAAGTGGTACTTTTACTTTACAGCTGTGCCGAGAGACCTCGACTATGAAAGAATGGGGAAAAGAACGCTTAAACTTTTTACACACAAAAAGTGTTTAAGAACGCTATCATACAATAAAGTTAAGTATATACCTATGACTGTAAGCTACGTCACAAGTTAGAAATAAAATATATTTTGAGTTATTTTGTGCGCGTCAGCGTTGTGTCATACTGTCACAAATAATTGTGACTGTTTGATAGTTCCAAATCTCGTAAACGATATTAGTTTACTTATTTTACTTACAAATGCTTGTTCTTTCACCATATTAAAACATCTCTAGGTGCAGTTTAATAAGAATAAAACATATTTTCTAGGTGCAGAAGAGCCAGAGTTTATCGCAGATTCTGTGTACAACAGGTTGCGGAATGCGACCAAGTGCACCCGTAATTTCTCATGCAGTAGATGGAAGGTTTGAGCTAATAGGCTTGTCGGTGGGTGGCCCACTCTGTTCGCATCGCAGTATGCGACGCCGCTTTAACGAAAATCCTCCTTTCTATATAGATGTATACCCCTACGTCCAGTGGATCATCAATGTCATCACCGCACATAAATTACCTAAGCCTTATCCCCAACATTTTCAACTGGTTCGAGGAGGGTATCGTGAGTTTCAACGTGTAGAAGACTTTTTTGTTATATAAGAATCATTTAATTACCTGGTCTGCGCATCTGACAAAATCTGTTAATTTATTTCTATATAATTTCAGAAATGAGCACTATACGTTCGTCTCCGAACATACACAAGTCTGGTTGGAAGGGTCGAACATTTTTATGGGGCCATCGTTGTTTCCTAGATACCAAAAGGCAAAAGCAGGATTTGTTTTTCTACAAAGAAACTTTTTCATTGAAAGTCAACAGTTCCAAAACACCAACAGAACTGAATATTAAAATTAAGGTTCGTGAAAGTCCAAAATAAAGGCTTTTTGTTTCATTATCCATCATCCACTTGAAAACCAAGTAAGATGAATCAAGTAGGAGTGTTTATAGTATATATAGTATAAAGACGTCAAAATTGGCATCAAACGCGATCCTTATTGTAAGGGTACGATAAGGGCACACAGGGTAATTATCCAGGGCGTTCAACCCCAAAGTACGTTTCCACTGTGTCCCATCTGAAGCCACTTCAATAACCTAAAATATTCTTTCCCTTTTTATTAAAAAAATAATCAATATTTTATTCATGTTGGATTTTTAGTTTATCAATACTCACTTTGCTAATTACAATTAGTTTTTGTATGTTTTTAATTTTATTTGATTAGTATCTATAAACTACAGTAAACTGAAATAAAATTTAAACAAAAATAAACGGTTTTTCTCTTCCTGTATGATGGAGTCTTTAGCCGACCCAAAGACGGCCTTGGTCGTAATTATGGTATAGGTTGATTTCAAGAAGCTCTACAGAGCTCTACATTTTCAAGTAAGGAAAGTGCTGTTACCTCTCACAGCACTTTTCTTACTTGAAAATCACGTATTAACGAGTCTTATAAAAATAAAAGTGGACTGGTAGTTCGTCTATAAAAATAATGAAGAATATTCTTTAGGCAAAGACTTTTTTAATCATATAATAAGTACATCTCGTAAAGGATTGTGCAAATTTACACAACACCGAAGAATTTTAAATTGTGTAATTAATTTACACTGAAAAATATTAATAATGCAGTATCAAAAAACCTACTCTGCTGTATAACTTCGAATACGCATTCATCAAAATATATTATTAATAAACACAGTTTGTTATTAACATTAGACGTCTGTACTTGGCATTATACATACGTGTACTCGTATAAGCAAATAATTAATTTTCTTTTTTTACAGATATCTTTGGGTATCGAATGTCAAGTAGCATGTGTTCGTTTATTACTCCCCCATCGACTGTTTGAACCAAATATACAAATGAGTGACATTGACTTAATTTTAAACATGCATGTGGTTACGTACTCTAAATTTTTCTCTTTCTCTCTCGGCATCTCTGGAAGGAATTTTACTCGACCAACTTTTGTAAGAACAAAAGAGCTCATCAACAACTATTTCTTTTTGTTGTGATAAGATAAATGTTAAGCTAAGGGCAATTCAAATAAAATATAATCATTTATATCTGTGTAATCAATGAACTTACACAAGAGCAATACCTACAGCGTTGTGCATTTCTTTCTATTTTCTTTGAGATTTTATGATTTCTCTTTAAATCTGTTGGATTATATTTCTATTTGTCTATTCCACTTCAATCCACTACACATTGCTGTACTTATTTATGTTCATAAGTACTAGTAATACCTTAGGACAGGCGTCACTATAAATGACGCCCAGGGCATTCCAGGTACTGTAGCTGCCAGCGTTGTGCAACTATTTCTCTTAGTAATATCTGGCTTATACGATACGATATTCATTTGGTTCGAATCCATAATTAATGTATACCTAGAATATCAGTAATTTATTATTTAGTAATTCAGTGAAGATATCTCTGGTTAATAGAAGAAGGTTATGAGAGTAATTACTCGTATGCAGTTGGTTTGTGGTCTGAAATAAAGGTGTTATTCGGTAAAACTTTAAAACTCGTGATCTAATATTTCAGTTATATGACTTTAATTTTAGGAATAACTTTTTACATATTTCCATAAATGTAGGTGCATATCTAGCTGTTTCTGCGCTAGGTGATAATAGATCCGTCCAAAATTGTATGTACAATCCCATAATTTTCTTTGCCGGCATTTTCGATGTTTGATCAATAGCGCGTAGTTCTAGAACAATTAGAAACATTTAGGTATTTAGTTAATTACAATCATTCAAATCTCATGTATTTCGTTCTATCAAACATATTGTTAGTTAATAACTTTAAACTTCCTCGCTCTGTAATGCATATTTTAAAGAAATATTAACAATAGAATGATGTCAAGATTATAAAGAAATACCAGTAAATAAATAATATATAAATGTTGTAGATATTTTAATTGCATTATAATATTTTTTTTTACTGTAAGCTTATATTGTATAAATAAATAAAATGAATATATAATATAATAATATATAATAAATATATAATAATATATAATAAATATATAAAATAAAGTTACAATTAGCCAGTTAGAGGTGAAAATTTTCTCTTGTTTTTACGATGCACCAGGATAGTTGATGTTTTTTAAGGTAATAACAAAAAGTTAGTAAATGAAAGAAATGTAGTGAAATATCGTAAGGACAATTTCATCATCATCCTCATTAACAGCCTTTTATAGTCTACCGATGGACATAAGCTCTGTCCTTAGAAAGGAGGTTACTATACCACGCTGGCCAAGCGGGTTGGTTTGTGTCAAGTTTCGGGGTAAAAAGACTGACCAAAAAGTAGCCTCTACCCCGCAGTCGCCATCGGTGGCAGTGGCTACCCAGAGAAAGCAAAATCGCAGATTGGTTATGAAAAAAAGCAAAAAGTATGTCGAAAAGCGCACAGTAGTGGAGCGCCAACTAACCCGGTGATGATGATGAAAATTTTGCCGTGTGGAACGATGGCGGAAAGTTGCGGCTGGTATTAGTCCGAACAATTCCTCGGAGCAGAGAATGCAGAGTGAAGCCACATCTCTACGTAACGCCATGGGATCGAGCCGATCGGAGATATTTGAGCTATCGACGATTCGAGTCGCTGTTCGTTGGATGCGCTCCAGAGAGAGAAGCTGGTACTGAGGTGCCCCTACATAGAGATGAGAACAGTATTCCATATGCGGCCGGACTTGCGCCTTATAGAGCTGAAGGCGGTGGGTCAGAGTGAAATACTGCCTCGATTTGTTTAGCACACCGAGCTTCTTCGAGGCCCATTTGGACCTTACCCTCTAAGTGACCCCGAAACTGGACTTCGTTCGATATATCGATGCCTAGGATTCCGGTGCGATGAGGCAGTCAGGGAGGTGCTCTCAAACCGAGGTGATACGACAAATGGTATCTTCTATGCGGTTGGCGCTGCATCTCCTCTTGAATGACTTTTGCATAATCTAGGTGGCAGGTCCAGCGTCGTGACAAGACGGCTGTATACGGGCGTGGTGGATATATTTATATTAGAAAATGTATTTATTTAGAAATAGGTGTGCAATGCATGTTTACCGGTAATTGGCTTGCCCCCTACTATGTAAATGGGACTAAAATTATAATCCGCAAAATGTGGGCTTTCAATACGCTTCTGTCTACCCCTCTGCCCCTTCAGGGATATAGATGTGATATACTCACTGATTAGAAAGTGGCCAGTTTGAAGATCACAATATATACATAATGTATTAATATTTTACACTTTTTGCATTCTGCTATAATGACACAATAGACATAGATATATTATAATAATAAAAAAAGAAATAATAGATAATGACACAAGTAATTATACTTGTTGTTATTTATTAAAAAAATCTGTATTTGCTAAAATCATCGACATTTAGGCCGACGATGTACAGCAAATTTACCAATTTTCAGTGGTTTAATGTGTGAGATTAATGTAGTTTTTACGTTTTTCCTTTGCATAAGATGAACTCTTGCTGCATCAAATCTATTATTTAAAAAAAAGGATAATAAAACTCTACATTTTATTATGCATAAAATTTAACGTAGCGAATAGCAACGCGTTGTTCCGAGATATTGCCGCAAACAGCTGCGATGCTTCTTAAAAAGTAGGTACTACGAAACAATTTGTAGCACAGTCTCGTCGCTTTTTGAGATTATAATGTTACGCCTGTTAGAGCATTTGTTACTACTTACCATGCTCCCATCTTTTGATTTTAGTTCTCAAATTTTCTCTGCCATTTACAGATTTATTATAAACATCGTTGTACAATTCATCTGGTTGTAGTTTTTTCTTATATTCTTTAACCTGAAATGACAGTAAATTGTAATTTAAAAATAATATTACAGATAGTTTAAAATGTATTCAGTGATTGATAGTCATTCCATTTATTTAAAAAATGTCGTATATTGATTGATGCGGCCACTATAAGATATTATTAGTTAGGTAATCCTTATGTCACTTTTTATGGGATTGTACTGCGAGTTTTTTGTTAAAATTGGTCTTGTTACCAATTTCAGACTATTTCTATATTTAATTGTAGATCATTTTGTTATTAAATAGACTTGTACCTCTAAATCGCTTACTGTTACATTATTTGTTTTAACAACTGTAAATACAACAATTAATACAACACTGTTTAGTTGAAAAGACATTATCGTAATATTAATAAATAAAGAACGAACTAGGTGCAACTGCAAATACCAATAGACTGCGACTGACACGATATTGCGACCTCAATTGTGTTTTAGAGTTCCGGAACAAATTCTGGAGCGCTAAAACACTAATTAAAACAAAGTGTTTTCCTTTTATTGTGTTATTAAAACACATTATGTAGGCTTGTTTATTAGTTTCTTAGTATTAGTTTCAAGTTAGCTGCGATTCACCTTAAATAACATCTAAGAATATCCACCTCCAATGTTTACATACGTGTCAACGTACGTTTGAAAGTGAAACAAATGGATTATCAGTTATTGTAAAGACCTTGATTCTTCTTATACGTAAAGCTCGAACACTAGTAGTACCTACATGTTTTTAATGTAAGTGTATGATCAACACCGCCAATTTCTTTTGAGTTGCGAATTACCTTAGAGAACCACTGTGGACATTCACCTTTTAGGTATACATGCCATTTTTTTTATAGTATAGGCAAGGTAATTTTTTATAGTATAGCATAACTAGGACATTGAAGAGTCACAAGTGCGTTGTCCCCTTTGAGTCCCCCTCCTAGAGTCCTCCACCCATAGTCAGGGCAAGTAGGGATTTGGGCTCCGGTAACCTAATTTATTCTGTGAAATAGGCAATGATCCGGTCCATTTATGCCAAAGTATGGCTCTCCCACTTAAATTACTTATTCCATATGAATATCATAATGTTTTAGATTACATTTATATTTAGAAAATTACGTAATAAATTAACATTAATTATTTTTGTACGATCACAATAATAGTTTATTAATAAATTTCATACATACTACTGAACCCTTCAGCGTAATTCATCTGACCTGCATGCTGTGGTTTATTTTTTATATACAATGCTCTACTAACAACAATTGTACAAACAACACCAGGAAGAGAACAATAGTGTTTTTTAAACATCTATAATAAATAAATGAACACTTCAGACCTTTATAGAACGCTAACTGTGCCCACGTGCATAAGCAGTATAAAACATACTTTTTTTTCTGGAAAACTAGTAAAGTGAATAAGGATGGAACAGGTTATCTCTAAAAATACTTATCCAATCTTCAAATGTAATTCACTGTACCTACCCTGTCCATATCTTTAAACAGTACAACTTAAAACTAGCAAGTAGCTGATTCGATTAAAATTTTTAACCGAAATTATCTGACACGTTGCTTGTTTGATTCACAATTATTTTTCCTTTAATTTCTGAGATCACATCTTTATATTAAGGCCAAGAAAATACTAGGAATCTACTCGTTAATAAAATGTCAGTGTAAAAGAAGGGTTAACTGCTGGCTTAAAACTTTAGATTATAAAGCCACAGAAAAGTTAATACAAACTATCACTTAGTGTATCTATCTATTTATTTATTCCCTTATCCCTATCGTTCCTATTCTTCACCATACACACACATGTACGCATAGAAGCAACAATGTACTCACATTATCACAAAACTAACAACATAACACGCTACATCTGTGTGTAGTGCCTAACTAAGAGAACATATATGTATTTTGTCTGTCTTTATGAGGAAATCTTATTGTATTGTTACACTTTTTTCCAGATTTTAGATCCTCATTTTTGTCCGAGTTGGAGGCCTGTTACATGTCTTTGTAACACAGGTCAAACTGCTGTGGAGACTAGAGCCCTAGTGTAGGCTCTAGTCATAAATATTTTTATTTACCAATTGCTATTAAATTTTAGGGGCGAACATGAATTTAGTGTGTTATATTAATATTTAATTTTTTCATTCCTCTAAGTTTGAACTTGTAATTTAACATTTTTATATTGTTTTAAAGTTGATGCAAAACTCTGGCACAGTTACAGTTATAAGCCACTAGTAAAGAGAAAATTTAATAAACGAATTTATAGGCTAAAAGTTAACTTATTCAAGCAAATGGACAAATGGACCGAAACGCTCCAATACCCAGTGCTTTTATTTCGATAAAACGTTTTCACAGCTAGAGGTCATTAACACTGACACCCAATTGTGTCTTATCGAATGTAAAATATTGGTTTCATAACGATAACCGAGAAGTATGCACATTCTATTACGAGTTCTGCAAATTTCATGTTTATGTGCATGTAACTATCTCAACAAGCCTTACTATAATATTACTAATTAAATAGGCACTGTTTAACTTCTGACTTAACTACTCAACTCATTCTGTATTTTTTTCCTAAAAAGAACGTATGTTCTTTCCTTATAGAAAATAAATGTGATGGTTTCTATATGTAAGTAGAATAAATAATATATTGCAGCTTAGGCAACGAAGAATAAATTTACTACTATTTGATAGCTTACATAGGCGGGTGACTGGTGTATTACAAAACAAACACAGTACTCTCCAAGTGTTTATTTATGATTGTTTTAGGAATACATACCAACAAAAATGCATGGCATGGCATGCATGTTACATCGAAATACATACGTTATATTGCACGCAACATCCTCTAAAGAATGAAATATAACAAAATTATTTAGTAAAAGGTCAGAAAATATCAGTATTATGAAACTAAAGCTTTATTCTTACTTCTTTAACAAGTCTGTCTCAAGCGGAATCGACGGAAACCGTGTCTTCATCATTAAAACTGCTGTCATTGTTAGCAGGTGCTGGAAAACTCGCTGGTGAAGGTTGAGAAGGTCCTTGAGCGAAAATGTTTGATGGGAATTGCGGGTATTGGGGAGATGAGGGGCTAAGTCCTTGTTGAGGAATATGTGAAATTGCTGGTGGAGCTTGTATGGACATTACAGGGTTTTGAGGACTCTGTGGAAATTGAGGGAATAAAGATGACGATCCTTGAGAATTTTGAGGATTATTTGGAATCTGTGGAGTTTGGGGAAACTGTGGAGCTTGGGGAATTTGTGGAATTGATGGAAAAGCTGGCGCTTCATCAAGGGGAAATTGAGGATTTTGAGGTACTTGTGGGATCTGTGTATATTGGGGGAATGATGATGCCGATGACTGTTGATTTTGGGATGTTTGAGGATTTGATGGAAATAGAGGAGGCTGTCCTGATTCTTGATTTAAATTATTTAAAGGTTGAAACTCGGAGCCACCTAATTGGCTGCCACTTGTCGTCTGTGGCAGCTGCCCTTGCCCTTGTTGTTGAAAGGGATAATCTATTGAATCTATAACAGCTGAATCGGCATCACCAGCAGTTTGACCGATGTCTGCACTCGGTGTTTGTGATGGGACCGATGGTTGTATTGGAGCCGGAGTACTAGGAGATGCAGGTGCAAAAGCGGGAAAAGCTCCAAAAGTGGGAATATATGAATGTTGTGCGGGGTAAAATATATTCGTTGCAGGTATATAAGAAGGATTTGCTATGGAATAGTACCCAGTGGGCAAGGGTGCCAAACTGTTCACTTGTGCAATTTGGTATGGTAATTGATGATGAGCTCCAAAGGAGTATGATGCAGGGATCTGTAAAAATAAACCATATAATTATATAGTAATAAACGACCACGTATTTTTCATCACTTCGATATCACAAATAACCATATTTAAGGCAGAGCTTCTTAGTTGTAAAGTTAAATTTTTCAAATTGTAATTTAAGGACTATGATGGCTATGCGGTTATGGGCATGGCGAGTTCTGATTTATGATTGTTTTTCAATCCACGTGATACCGGTATATGCAGTTTTTAATCGGTGGTAAATTAAGGTAAATATAGGTTTTATTACATCTTACTTAAATATAAAAGTACTTGTCTTCAAATATAATTCAAGGTTGTTTCAAAACGTTTTATTATTTAAAGGATTAGGTAGAGACTAAGCGAATAAAATGCTCTAACATTATATATAATATTCAGATTACATTCTTACCGTATTAATATACTGGGTAGTAGAGTAAGCGGTAGTTTTTGTTTCTCCCGGTAAGACGGTTTTTAGGACAGGGGCTGACAAGGCGACGGGAGCAGACAAAGCCACAGCGCCCGGCCACCCCACTGACCCACCCGCAGCGCAGCCCATCAGAGCACAAAAGACGGATATTACAAATACCTGCAAGGAAATAAAATACAGTTAGTTTTAGACAGGCCCTGTTTTAAATAACTAGAAAATTAGAAAAGTTTTTTTTAAAAAATGAAGAAGGAAAACTAGAGGTGCTACTTCCAGTGGATTGAAAATAAAAACATAATTAAAACTCGAGGCTCTGTTAGTATAGTATAATAAAGTAATATACATGAGGTGCTTTTGTTTTGAGGATTTTTAGCTTAATGGATAAAGAGATTAAAAGCTGTACAACGGAAGAGATATTTTGACAGTAAAGAAATAATTTAACGCGGTTATAAATAGCTATTGTAAAAAGCGCCTGCTTGATATATACATGAGTATCCTTTCCTTTCAAAAACATGTTATTAGTAATTTGGCAGGCGTCCAGTTTCATTATCATCATCATACATTATAGAAATATATGTAATTTTATACAAAGTTTATTATTGTTATTATATATGAATAATAAAATAGAAAAAAAAAAACAATGGCCCTAGTTGGTCGAACTTTAGCCATTACACAGTGAATTTTTCTTTTTTTACCTTTTCGTAACATAAGCAGAGCTACAAATTTACAACATAAGTTGTACTGTCTTACACAGCTTGATATGTCCGCTTTCACAATACTTTTAACTCATGTTGTTTGAGTCAAAAAAAATTGAAGTATCTTATAAAAAGCATGTACATATCACTTAACATTACTATCTAAAGATACTGATTATGTAAACTTTGTTGGAAGCTTAGCAAGTGAAGCATCCCTGAATTCTCAGTTTGGCTTTCTCCTGAAGGACTTATTGTTCAACTCAATGCACTTTAATGAAACTCCAATGGGATTCGTGTTTTTGAATGATTATCAATGCGACAGGCGTTATCTTGTCTAGACGAGAATCCTAGAACCCGGTCACAGCGACATCTAGTCAGAGTCTACTTCTGAATCTAAACCATCACAATCTTTACTCATGAACACAATAATTTCAATATTATCGGTTTGGCAATTTAGGTTTGCAGGCAAAATTCGCGGTTTTGATTCCTGTTCAGAGCAAATACCTATCAGCACATGCATGTTCGTTTTCATTATTTAACCTTTAACTTGGCAGTTGAAGAGGTTCAACAAACTTTTCTATTTATGGTTTGGAACTTTGCTTTGTGCAAAAAGTATTATATTTAGAGTGATTAGTTCTTCACGAACTGAGATGACAAGTACAGACAAAAGCTAGATTAATTAATAAGACAATTAACAATCCATGAAGACACCGTAGCTTAATCGTAGATGTCAACTAGTAATAAACAAAAGGAAATAGAGCAGTGAATCACAATGAATAATCACTCGGGCACGAACTGAGTATACACAGCCACTTGTCACTAAAAGTTGTATTATTAATAGTAATCCAAGGTTAACACACGTACCTTCATATTGGAGGCACTAGTGATCTCTGTAATACTCGCACTGATCTTCAGACGAGCCTTTTATACGATAACTGCCACCCCGCCCACTTACAAAGAAAGTCACGCACTAGATATGTCTAACATAATAAATAGACTTTACATGGCGCTGCGTTGGCGCCGATTATCTTCGTACGACAGAAAAAAAAATGATTCAACGTCAAATCACACTTTTAAATTTGCTCTGTTATGTGTATATCAACTCTAAATAGACTCGATTTCAATTTTAGAGTGACTCAATAAAGAATAATTATAGTTTTATTATAAATTTATATTATCTCCTATTCATTAATTGTCCCAAAGAATCGTAAACGTATCATCTCTGGTTGTAAGGAATTGCATTGTTGTGATGCGGTAATCAGGAAACGATCTTAAGTAAAGGTATAACAGAATTAAAGAAACCAACTAATAGTTTTTAGATCTCTTCGAAGCTAATGCAAGTGTTTGAATTTAACAAAACTGGAGTTTAAAACCCAGGTATCATACCATGCATTTACATGAGAGAGAATCTATAAAGCACTGTGCCGCTCTTATTTTATATATAAAATTCTCGTGTCACAATGTTAGTTACCATACTCCTCCGAAACGGCCCTACCGATTTTTAAGAAATTTATTTTTAAATTTATTTTTAAAATCTATTTTTCATACCCCTTAATGACAAGGGTGACCCACCCCAAATATTTTTTTTCAATATTTCCTAGAAAGAATGCATATGGCAAAACAACGTTTGCCGGGTCTAGCTAGTTCCAAACAAATATATGTTATGGCATATTTTATAAAAATTCAATCGCCACGAGAGCATAGAAGCATTAAGCAAGTAAGATTTATTTGACAACATTAATAATGATTTGTAAAAACATTTACAATGTGATAGCAGTATTAAACAGATTGTTGCTATAGTATGTGTTGATCTATGACGTTAGAGTCCAACACGATTTCAAAAAAATTAAATGTTTTTTTATGATATTAAGATATGTTGAGTTTGAAACCTAATAACAAAAGATATTATATGATTTGCCCTCATATCATCAGAAAATTATACAAGTTATTTCTTTTAGAAAAACAATATAAAATATATAACGTCGCATACTCTCAGCTTAAAAATTGTACTCTAACCATAGTTAGAATTTATTCTTTTAATTATAATTTGTATGCGTAACGCATTTAGCAACTCTAAATCTGTGATAAAATATACATTTCATTGAACATCGGCCATTAAAATGAAGGGAAAGAAGTACAATGTCCTTCTTTGCTATCATTTATTATTATGCGACGTTATATATTTTATATTGCTTTTCTAAAAGAAATAACTTGTATATATTTTTTTCTTTTTTTTTTAATTATCTGGAGATATGAGGAATCATATATGTAATATGTTTTGTTATTGAATTGTATATCTTAAAAAGTTCTACAAAAAAGTATATGATGGTATATGTCTATATCTAAAGATAACTAACAGTAACCAATTTCATATTATCATTAAAATGAATATTTTAGAGGTTAAAATGCGGGGGCCCAACAGCCGTCGAATCATACGTCCGTACCGAGTGTCAGCGGTCGGCAAAAACACGTGCTTATGAGTGGTTCAAAGCGTTCAAAACCAATCGAGATGTAATGTAAGATTTGACTCGCTCTGGTAGCCCATAAACGTCTGCAACTGAAGTTAACATCGCAAAAGTGAATGAAATAGTGACTGAAAATCCTCATTCAACTTTAAGAGAGATATCCGCCGAACTTTCTGTATCTCAGGAGTCGATCCGTACCATTTTAACTAATCATCTGTTTATGAAATATGTTACCGCTCGGCTAGTTCCAAAAGACCTGAATTTTCTCCAAAAACTCAATCGCATGAGAGTCGATGAGGACGTGCTAGAACGAGTCAATTACGAGTTTGACATGTAAACTAGCCAACAAGCTTCGGAGTGGCGCCTAATAACTGAACCGAAACCGAAAAAACCACGCCAAAGTCGGTCAAAAGTCAAAGTCATGTTGACTGTTCTTTGACTTTAGCGGTGTTGTGCACTCGGAAGTCTTGCCGGAAGGTCAAACGGTAAATAAAGAATATTATTTGAGCGTTATGCGGCATTTAAGAGAGGCCAGATTTGTGGAAAGAAAATTCTTGGATTTTGCACCACGATAATGCGCCTTCGCACAAGGCCATTATTGTTAACGAATTTTTCAGTACATATGGCTCCAGCCGACTTCTTTCTTTTTTCTAAACTCAAACTACCACTTCGTGGCACCCATTTTCAATCGGTAGTAGACATAAAGGAGAATTCGCGGCGAGAACTGAACTCAATTCCGAAAACATCGTTAAAAAAATGTTTTGCTGATGGGATACTCGTTGGCGTAAGTGTATCGTTTCTGAAGGAGCATACTTAGAAGGTGATAAAATAAATTTAGATGAAAAACAAACATTTTGTGTATTATTGATATTTTTCCGGTACTTTCTTGACAGAGTAGTACTTAAACATAGCCTGTTTTACTAAAAAGTCTAAGTTTTATAAAGTAAGTTACAAGTTGTGTTGACAAAACCTTTAAATTATTTAAATACAATCTATATTTTATTTATACATTTAATTTAAGTGTATAAGTGTTGCATATGTTGTGTGACATCAAATTCGATAGTTTTGACTGAAAAATATTTAATCTGAAAAAAATAAAAAATAAAAAATCGTTTTTTTTTCATTTAGTATAATAGAATGAGAATATTTGAATGAATTAATTAAAATAACCACGGGCAATAATAGGAACATTATTTCACAATTGCACTGAGTGTCTTTGTTGATTGTAAATAGATGTAATATAATATTTCAAATTCATTTAAAAGTTTGATCCTCGTGTCATCTGCTTAAATCAATCTACTTCTGTCCGGTGGGGCGTCAATACCGATCTCAGGGAATAAGAAGTCAAAGATGTGTATCTTAAAGAGGGTAACAGTAGGTTTCGGCACACTGTGGGACATGGCATGCCTGCCACCAATATTCTTCTTGATTAAAAAAAAGTTTCTCAACATCTGCAGGTGTATCCGTAACAATTTAAGTTGTGGCAATTTGGAGGTTTGCACATATTTACCTGTAACAAGATATGATGGGAATATGCTATATGCCGGTAAAAATATATTACTACTTCATCATACTAACGTTGTACGTAACCTTTGCGATAAACTTGGGCACTCACAAACATTGTCCCTTCATAATAATATCAAATATTTTTGTGTATAAAAATCGCATGAGGGTATGTGGACCCCCGGTCAGAACGAAGTTTCTTTCGCTTTTTGGTAGACGTTGTGTTTTATTGCTACAATTATTATCGGTACTCATCGTATGAAAGATATATGTTTAATAATTGTAGCACACAATTATTCACGTTCGATTCACTAACAATACTGCGGTGGCGGCACGTCCTCACTCCGGCGCTGCAGCGCATTACCACTGGCTGCCGGTCCAAGCCCGGTGTGCTTGCGGTGAGACGCCGCGCCGGTGCCCATCGCGTCGTGTGATATTGTATAGTTATTTGTATTTACGATGACGTAGCGGCACCGCTCCAACGCCGTACCGCACTGTCAACGCATCGTGTGGCTTCGCTCTAAAGATCTATAGATTTTTAAAAAGAAATTGACTCTGTTTTGAAGAACAGTACTACCGCACTTTTGCTCTTCACCTTAAGTATTCAACCTTGGTGGATGATGGAATTAAAGTCACTTGCAAGCATTTTAGTATTATGATCTCGCCAGATCATCCGCAGGAGACATATTGTGCTTTAGTGATTTGTTATGTGTGTTTTATTTATTTATAAGTGGCTACCACACATTTTATTATTCAAACGATTTAAGTGAAAGTGGGTGTAAAATGACCATCGATATTCTATTCCGTTCATAAGTTCAACAACTGGCTCTTAAGCTCTTAAGCTGACCTACCGTAGAGGATTCACCCACAGTTGTGATAAAGAAAACATGATCTTACTGGGTTCTTGACGTTTAAATCTTGTTCTTCCTACTCCTGTAGTGACCGCGGGGCTGCCATTACCATCAACGCCATCAGCAAATAACAAAATCTTATCTAGTGCACCCTGAAACATAAGATAGAGTATAGAGTATTATTACTTATCATTTTACTTATCATATCATTTCAGATTCTTAGGGGGCAAAGCAGCCCTTGTGGCAGCGGCTGGCAGATATTTATATTTTATTTTAAAAATAATATAATTGTAGTTGGATTTATCTAGCTAACAATGGAATTAATATGAATTAATTAAAATAAATTACTTTTTGAATTAGCACTCACTCTTGAATGGGATATATTTAGTCTTGTAGGATCGTTTTTATAAATGTAATTTTATATATTCCTACTCTGCAAGGAACTTGACAACAAAATCCACCCAATTTTTGCATTTTTTTAGAGAACCACAACCGGGAACGTTACCTAAATTTTTTGTTATTAAAAAAAATCGGTGCTTAAAATGTCGTTTTTTACTAACCTCCATAAATTCTAAAGTGTCTAACAAGGAAACCGCAACAACATCTGAACTAAGGTGAATTAAAACTAAAAAAACTGTGCTTCTAAATAACTGCATTTTGATAAAATGAAAAAAAATGGCAATCACGGACGTCTTTACAGCAAAGCTTCATTCAGTATTTGTGGCACAACGGTTCTATGTAGCATCTTTTAAATATATCATTTGTATTAACAATAGAACAATAAATTTGTCAACAAATAAATAGAACATAAAAGAACAATGACATTAAATCGATGCATTCCTAAACGTTCCCTCGTAATTTTTTGCAGAATCGGAAGAATTATAAAAGAGCAGTCGCAGATGATTTTCAAGTAATATACTTAGAATAGAATAGAATAGAATAATCTTTATTGTACACCAATTCAGGATATTATACATACAATAGTATTCCAAGTTAATGACCATGTACAAATGGCGGCCTTATCGCTAAAAAGCAATATCTTACAGGCAACCTTTGGATGGACAAATAGACTGTAAATAGGTAATTTCATGGGCAGATTTGGTGAGAAAAAGTGTAAAGGAAACTAAAAACAAAAAGAATAATATTTATACAGCACAACAGCATTCCTTTGACAATTACAAAACAAAGTAGTGTCAATTGTATACAGCAGTCAGTCCCAGCAATACCTACTTATATAAATACAAGTAAATACATAAGGAATATATAATACATAAACAAATACATAAACTCTACCATTCATTTGCAGAGGAATACAGCAGATAGGAAATGTTATGTAAATAATAAATTAAAATGACAGGTAGTGTTCTTTGACCATTTTTTTAAAGGTAGGTAAAGTTTTTGCACGTTTTATAGGCATTGGCAAAGCATTCCATAGTCGGACAGCCTGTACAGTAAACGACTTATCGTAAAACGTGGTACAGTGAGATTGTACTGCCAGTTCCAGAGATTCAGATGACCTCAGGGACCTCGAATGTGTGTCACCAAGGAAAACAAATCGTTCCTTTAAATAAGTTGGAGTAAACGGATGAAATATAATACTATAAAGTGAGGAAAGAATATGAGCATTCCGTCGAAGGCGAATACTTATTACCCGGAGATTTGCAAGAGTCATGAACTCGTCAAGGTGTCAGAGAAAGGACTTTTACTTATTATTATTATCTTATGCAAACTTCCATGGCCTTGTTTAAGGGGTTGGGGATAAAATAAAGTTCCAAGTTTTAGATTTTTTTTGTTGTGTAGTACACCAGCTTAAACACCAAATTTCAGATTTTTGTACTTTATGAAGAATTAACCCTAAGAATTTTAATTATCATCAGTGAGTCAGTGACGAAAACAGGGGTTTTTAGATATCAATAAAATCTAAAGTATAAGAGCTATGCAGTTGAAACTTTGTATGTTTAATAAGTCTACAATTGTCATCATTTCCCAAAATTTTGTTTATCTGGTATAATCCTAACCCAAGTTACGAGGGTTAAAAAAAACGACGAAGCACTTCGAGAAAAGGTAGGTACAGTACTGCCCTTGCGATTCGCTTGGCTTGTTTTGGTGGGGGCGCTACGGTGCCCCCAGATTATAGTTTATTTTTAGACTTCATTTTTTATGTTTTATCTTCTAAACCCAAATAAAAAGGCTTCAAAGATATATCAATATTGCAAACAGAATTTATGAATAACGTGATTAAAGGTGAATTTCATTAGGTTCTTTTTTGTCCAAAAAGAAGGCAAACTGAAAATCACGTGGAATTGAACTAAATGCCCAAAATAAATAAAAAAGTTTCAAAGATCTAGAACAAATAATTTAAGATAACATAAACTTATCTTAAATTATCAAAATCAAAAAGAAAGGAATTGAAATTAAGTCATTCTACTTTTAACTGTAGGTTTTTGGCACTATTTATTTATCTTAGGAAAGCTTACAGACTAATATTAACAAACACATCTGAGTAACGCTTAAAGTGCTAATAAAAAGCTTCCACATATAAATAATCTTCAAATAACCACAGTTATACACAATTTTTCCAGTTGATCTAAACAGCAAGTGTCAGCAAAAAATAAAAACTAAATTACAACGCAACACAAAAAATAATAATAATTAAAACAGATAAACAAGGTAATTCAGCAGGTAATCTACCAGTCGCTGCCAAAGAAATACTTACTGAAAAGTGTTTTGACTGTAGTTGAGTTTGTACAAAACAGATCTAAGTCCAATTTTAATGCCACAATACAGTATAGCCGCAGTATAACATTTTTACAGTTTTCAGAGATCGGAAACATGTAGACATTCTCACTACAAAAGCCAGTGCTTTCAACGCTTGATTTTTAATATGATCGACGTGTTGAAAAGTTTCGAATCCATAACCACACCAAGGCCCTAATGTGATCTACCTTCTTAATAAATTTATTGTTTAATTGGTACCCAGACCCAATTGTAAATTTCCGGCGTGTAAAGGAGATATAGCAACATTTAGAAACGTTTAGGTCAAGCTTATTTATTTTGCCATAGGTTACAAATTTGTACAAATCACTTTGCAGCTACTCGACATCAGAGGAATTATGAATTGTTTTAAGAATCTTCATATCGTCAGCGTATAAGAGTATTTGGGAGTTCTGGAAACAGCTGTACTAGTAGTAATAAGTTTTAAAAAAGCCGTGTGGTGTCGTGGGACACCCGATAGGAACGAAGTTGTAACGATCGAGTAAAACTGATTCGGCACATTTTAATTACAACGCCATCTATGAAAGCGGCTATTACCTACATATTTTTCAGTTGGTTTCTAATTAAAACAATTTATACATTGGTAAAATCTCCTTGAGAAATGATTTCCTATCTATTCGATAGATGGCGCTGAATGACTGTCATAAAAAGATAGAAATGAAAATATCTGGCTTGCATTCTATAAGAGAGAGAGAGACAGACAGAGAAACATGCGACGCCGCACAGCTTACAATAGCTTACTATAGCAAAAAGTGTCATGACATGGCCCTTTCACAACGCGCGATAAGGAACTTCGTTCCAAAAAAATGAAGTTATTTCATTGTATGTATGCGTAATTATACCTAAATAATTGCAATACAATGTCAGCAGCGAATTTTTTACTTACATATATTTTTCTGAAACTCAAGGTTTTGTCGAACAAGGTAGAAAAATCATACCACTTTGTTACCAATCAAAATATTTTTATTGAGCAACTTTAATCACTCATAACAACAAAATAAATTAATAAAACGTATTTTAAGAACATAAATCTTTCTTTCTATAACTTTAATTAGAGATTATCATTTATTAAATTTAACAAAGTATTCAGCATTGATAAAAATATATATTATCTTGCATCTGATATACCTGTAATTTAATTTATAAACCAATTGTACAACTGAAATCGAAAACCTCTATGTAGAAATAGGTACATAATGGTAACACAGTTATTCAATAGTAACAAAGTTTGTTTTTTTCCTGCAGTGGCGTTTAAGACGTCATCCCATTTGAAAAATGTAATAACTTTTACTCATAATGTCGTAGTTTTTGGAATCAGTGTGCTGTTTCTAAAATATCCCTGTTGCAGGTCGACGGCTTCTCGAAGTATATCACGTTTCTTCCGGAATGCCATCATCATTTCCTTTGGTTTGGCGATGTTCAAGTTCCGTTCCCCCATGTTCCCTCTGCTCCCTGGAAGCGAGCGCGCTTCGCAACACGCTCGCCGCCACCCCGACCCGCTTCTGCTAGAGTCACAGATGGCCTCACCTGTCACCCCCAGGCCTAACATGATGTTATTTTAGCACATGTTTAACACGCCCCATCTTAGTGACTGTCATCGTAATCATAATGGATTGTTCCAACGAGGCCCCCACCGTCCCCCTACTGTTGGCAAAACATGCATTTCTCCGATAGATGTTCAACGGCCTGCTGGTGTTAAAATTTAGGGATGTGTGTGACCAAATGTCATGGGGAGCAGGCCTGGGCTCGGAGGCAACCCTTTCACAGGTATCCCGGACACTCGTACCACCGCCCTGCGAACCCTGTCAGGTCATGTGGTTAAAGCGCGTCCAGTTTGTGTGCGAGCCCCTGAGGACCAGCGGTGGTATGGCACCTAACAACGTCTTCGCAAGCCCGACATGTCTTAGCGACCTGTACGAAGCTGGGCTCCATACCCCTCGCCAGGATATTGTGCAGGAGGTCGCCGTCACGCATCCAGGACCCGAGAGTCCGAGCAGGCTGGCGGTTCGCTCAACTAGCTCCACGTGAGACCCGTATTTATTACGTTTCTCTCGATGGAGCCCATCAAGCGATTGTCGGCCAGACACCACTTGCACGTCGACGATCACTCCCACGCCATCCCTTGCGGCGATTATGTCCGGCTTGCGAAGGCCGAGAGCTGTCTTAATCCTTGGCTAAAATTTACGAAACCACCTTCCGTTTTTTACAAATCTTACAATAGATCACAATAGTATGACATAAATACCACGTCTTAATATTTAAAAACATAAAGTAAAAGTTCAAAATTTTACCTTTTTGCCGAGTAATAAAGTGCACACCAAATAAACCTACGAGACTCGATTCACAACATGCGGTGACTGAGTGGCGTCGTAAGGCTTGCAGTAATTCCTCCTCGCCCCGGAGTTGTCATTCACGACCAAACGAACCGAGCAAGCGACCAGTGGTACAGCGAAATCTAACAGTTTAATGAAAAAATACCATTAACATTGTTCATTCGGGACAAAAATGTATTTTTTGGGTTTTGAAAAAACTAAACAGTTTAAAAGTATATAATGAAAGCATATAAAAACATGCGCATATTTAATAAACATATTACATTTTTTTACGTAAGGCTTTTTACGTACATTGAAAGAAAAACCCTTTTTTTAGCATTAGGTCGGGGACATGTTGCGTTACTATGAAAAACAACTATGTTACTCTGAAGCTGAACTTTTTGACCCTAAATTTCTTAAAATATAGAAAAGATTCCAATTCCAATGTTAATAGAAGTTGAAGAAATAATGCGGCAGTTTCATATATTGCGTGCGTTTTTAATTTATTTTGTTAAGAAAATGGCAGTCTCAGATCTTCTTTACCGGGGGGGCACACAAACCTGCAGTAAAAGGTAGAATGACCTAATTACTATATTGTTTTTTTTTTCTAAGTTGCAAGAATTTAATGGTTTGTAAATTCAATTTTTTTTTTCTCTTATCTCCAGTATTCATTCTTATATCCATATGTCCTTTGGATATTTGTTATATAATCTTATCCAATAGAATATATAGATCAAAAAATCGTTAGGCTAGGCAAGGAACCTCAGGTGCAATAACAACTAATTTATTTATTCTACAACCAGTCTTGCTTTTCATAATATAATCTTCTTTTTCTCAGCCGAAAGACGTCTACTGCTGGACATAGGCCTCCCATAGTTTTGCCACAATAATCGTTTTTTTTTAATATCATCAAATAGCGTCTTCAACTTGAATCTTTCTACAAAGAAATAATATGATAATCCTATGTCACGTAATCCACGAAGAGTCTCACTAATTTATGTATTTTTAAACTAGTGTAAACAAAAAAATGTATTTACAGTTTTGGGTAACTAAAGATACATACTGTTAAAAAATGTATATTTATTACCAATATCTATTGTCGTGTTTGTGATTCGTTCTTTACATTTCGACAATAGAAGTTATTTGCTCCAGATTTCTATCAACGATTGCAATTACATTGACATTTTGTTTGTGGCTCACACTTGTAGCTACCGGCCTCCACCTAAACCCACTGACATTTCGCCTCGTACTGCATACATGTGAAAGTAATTTTTAGAGCTACGCGTCATATAATAAAGCTATGACCATATGACGTCGTATACTATCGACACATTTAATTACTATTAGTCGAAATTAAGAGTATCTGTTCTTGTATATATATTTCGTATATATGTATATGATAAAAACCTTTTTGATTCACAAACTATAACAGTCAAAATGCAATATAAGCCAAAACATACACAACATCCACACGAGATAAAGGACCGCGATATTGCATAAGAGCAGTAACATAAAAACTTGAAAGAGAAAGACATAAGGAAGATAGACTGAAACTACCCACCAATGTGGCACTAGCTAGACTGTATTGCGTTTTGATATCGTCGATTTTAGATACTATTCTTACAGCACTGCAAAAAGAAGGAAACCTTGAAACAAACCCTGCTAACCCGTCTGGCCAGCGTGGTATAGTAGGCCAAAACCTCTTTTCTAAGGATAAACTTATGTTCAGCCAGTGGACTACTAAAAGCTGTTAAAAATGATGAATAATGAATGATAATACTCCGGGATAAGGGCATCTCTGTAATGGGTACACGTCTAACAAACTTAAGATATGCAGATGACATCGTACTATTTGCTGACACGCCACAAGATCTCCAGTGCATGATACAGGAACTCACCTGGTATCCTCTGAAGTAGGTCTAGAGATGAATCTCGATAAGACCAAAGTGATGACCACAGAATCGGAGGATACGCGGAAATATTAGTGGATAGGACAGTAATTGAACGAGTGTGCAAGTACGTGTATCTAGGACAGGAAATTAAAATGGGAAAAGAGAACCAGGAGAATGAGATTAACCGAAGGATCAGACTGGGGTGGGCAGCCTACTCCAAACTCAATTTCGTATTCAAAATGAACCTGTCAGCACAACAAAAGGCTCAGATCTTGGACCAATGCATACTACCAGTCCTTACATACGGCGCTGAAATTTGGGTTACGACTAAAGCCATTCTGTATAAACTACAAGTAGCGCAAAGGGCAATGGAAAGAAAAATGGTGGGTGTGACATTGAGGGACAGAAAGACCAATACGTGGCTTCTTAAACAGAGCAAAGTATCAGACGTTGTAGAAAGGGTAGCAAAGTTGAAGTGGGAGTGGGCTGCTCATGTAGCCAGAAAGCAAAACTCTTGGTGTAAAAGAGTGTTAGAATGGAGACCATGGGACCAGAAAAGACCTCGAGGGCGACCACAGATGAGATGGAAGGATGACATGAAAAAAGTGGCAGGCAGCAACTGGACCCTAATAAAAGTGGAGAGGATTAAAGGAGGTCTACACCAAATATTTGGTCGATTAAGGCTAAAGAAGAAGAAGAATACTCCAGGACATCTTTATGTGCTATATTTATTTAGATAAGGTGCCTCGAACATCATTTACCATAAATATACGGATTGTTTTCAAGTTTTCCTTACTAGGAGTAGTAGGTAGGTAATAAGATATAGTGACTAAAGATGTATTGTATTAAAATTAAAATCAATAACATTATAACTGCGCCGTTAATATAACATGCCTCGAATATCATTTACCATAAAGAACAGCTCTCTAAAATGAAACTTTTCGGTACGATTGTAGGATAAACTTTTATCAAAAAAATTGTCAAATTCTTACACTGGCTGGCAAATGAAATAATAAACATAAAAGCAATAAGCATTTAATAGGTTATAAACTGTCGAAAATTTCCAATCTGATTAAAATTTATTAATTGAAATCAGAAATGCAATGCAATGTTATTACAACAAAGTTAACGCTAAAATATAAACAAAATCAAACGTTTTTGTAATGAATAAATAATGTCGGGTGAGAATAAAACTATAAACATGTAATTTCAATGTGTACGCCGATATAATTATGTATAATTGCTTAATCTTATAATTTTGTTTCTTTGCGTTTAGCAACTGATTCTGCTGCACAAACTCAAGATATTGCCAAACCTAAAAGAAAACGTAAGTTTGAAAGTGTATTATTTATTATGTTTTGTTACTAATATTCCTACACTTACAATTACAATAATAACCGTCTCAAAACCATGGAATCCAAATTAAATCATTGAAGTCTAAACTAAACAAATACCCGAATCCGCAAATATTTATAAAGGCAGCGTTGTAATCCCAACTTCCCTACTAATATTATAAATGCGAAAGTAACTCAGTATGTTACGCTTTCACGGCTAAGCCGCTAAAGCGATTTTAATGAAATTTGTTACTTGAGTTTTGAGCAAAAGCAGAGTATTACATATTTTCAAAAAATATCACATGACAATATCACATGATGAACTTTAAACATTCCAGAAGAGTGTACTCCTGTACCTCAAAAGCTGGTAATGCGTTAGTGACACTTAAGTTGCTTGGGGGGGCAGGGTGTGGTAGTCACTTGCAATGGTGACCCGTCTGCTCGTTTGTCCACTATATCAAAAAAGAAATAAAATATGTTAAACTACTGTGATAGTCTATTTAAAATTATATCTCATATTAAATGGAATATAAAATAATCCACATATGCCCGGCGAATCATTTATCTTGTTTACTTCTTCTTTTCATGAATCTCATTATTCTTTCTATCAGTTCTCATTATTCAAATTGAAGAGAATGAAATTGTCGATTTGACTCAATACGACCTTGTACCTAATCTAATTGATTTCGATCGTAATAACAAATAATGCATCATATTTCGAAGGGAAAGGTTTCGATTTGCGTAGGTATGTACATAGGCGTATTTATATCTATATAATTCAGTTATATAGAGTTGCTCGTGCCTAGAAATGAACCCAAATAACTACTCATAATAGATAAACTCTTAATAGATAATTCAATATAATAAAACTTTATTACTATAAAATTAATAACCGTTATTTAAAGCATTAATATTCATAATTGTATGTCCATATTCCATTATGCATCGACTGCACGGATGGCGTAGTGGTGTAAACGGTCGCCACGACACTTTCTACTCCACTACTTGTGGGTTCGATCCCCAAAAGGGACGACACTTTATCCACAAATTGTTGTTCTGAATCTGGGTGTTCTTTGTGTCCGTTTCATGTATGTTTGTAAACTCCCCGCGACACAGGATAAATGACTAAAGCGAAAATAGTCTCTTAAAAAAGAAAAAAAAAAATATCCCAAATTAAGTTTGACTTATTGGTTAACAGAATAATTAAATTAAACCGAAGTACCAATATGCGAATTGTTTCAGTTACTAAAATAACGATAAAACAGTTACTAATTTTTTTTCCTAATCAGTCCTAAAAAGAAGTTAATTAATTTTTTTCTATATAAATATAAAAACATTACATATACACATACATGAATTCTCTATCCCTACGTAGTCATACTTATACTCGAGTAATATGGTGTTAAGTTTCATTGAAAAGCATTTGACTAGCGTAGAAGAAAAATATTTCCCGCACGGCAACGCGCGCCCTTGCGCTTTTCCATTCCCACTGAGGGGATCAGTCGGCCGGCAACCGCCGCGACGCGTTGAGCTCCTGACTCTACGCTCGACAACACACACTGTTTATTTACAAATAGACGGTCATATTTTACTACAGAAGAGTCAACACGCATTCACGTACGTTTGTAGTACTTACATTATTTATATTACGTATTCAATCATCTCTCATTACACTTTTTGAGCATCAAACGATTTTAGACTGTGTCAACAAAAACACATTGTTCATGCTCGAGACTTGTGGTTTTCTGTTTTACTCTCAGCAAACGTCTATTACATTTAGGAGTTTCAATTTACACTAACATGTTTAATAGTATTTCATTTAGGACATTTATCATTTACTGTGCTACTCAGCCTTAATATGAAAGAACAAAATTAAATATTTAAGTTCTAAACCTTATAATTTTCTGACAAAGGCGAGTGATTATCCATGCGGTTTTTTTTTATATTGCCCTTTCAAATAGCGTCACAAAGAGTAAAAGAATAAGACTTAGTTCACATTTAAATTTATAACGAATATGTGCCGAGTTCTTTCGTATAGACAATAGTTATAATTTATTTGTATCAAACATTTCATGAACTGACTGACATTTCAGAATAGAAATTATTAAAATACATTGTATGAGATTGATTAGTGCAATTTTAATTCCATCACGAACTTTCTTGTAACAACTTCATTACAAAATTGTTCTATGTTCATCCGCTAAACAGTGTAATATATTTAGAAAATAACCAATGTACATACGTTCGGTAATCACCAGTTTCGTCCCCATGTGTTTACGCTCGCCTAAAATCGTTGCATTATCACATTCAAAAGCAATGAGCATGGGTAATCGTGTACTCCCATGCCTCTTTCTTTAATAAGTTAATATCGAAATCACTAGTCACGTTTAACAAACTCGTATTTGATAAATAACATTTTGCAATCAGAAAACTAGTTGCCTATGTCCAGCAGTGGACTGTTAAAGGCTGTTGATGATGATGATGAATCAAAAAACTGATGTTTACTATTCTTAAATTATCTACACTTAAAAATGATAATTATTAATTATTTTCTTTAAAGATTAAGCAGTCTGTTCAAACTGCATAGCACAACTAAGGGAGATCGCCCACGGCGACGTTTTGCCTCAATGTAATAGCAATATTATCGCAAAATTCGCGAAACAGCTGTAATACTGTCGCTGACAATGCATCTTCGCCCACGCCTATAATTCTGTATTGCAATCAATGTATACAATCGGGATGTTTTGCATGCAAACACACAACTGTCATGTCACAACTACTATCCCACCAAAAACATTTTCCATTGACCATAGGGCTCGCACTGTCAAAAAGTTTTCATGTCTACAGCTCATAACTCTACATGACCTAACTTTACAAACTCTACAACTTATGCAAAATATTTGGCTTGGCTCGGTGAAGTGGCTTGGCTCGGAATCGAACCAACCAAAACCACACGACGTTCAGTCACATGTTAGTCTATTGCAAGGGACTCGGGTATACCCCAGGAAGGAAGAACCCGAGAACCGCGACAAACCTCGGATTATGTATACCAACCCCTAGGGCGGTATGAAAGCTTAAAAAACAGTCTAACTTTTGATAGGGAAATAAACGAGATCAGAAATAAAACAAAACTTATTAATTTCCATAATGGTTACGCAATTTTGCATAGACATAACACTATACACAATATAAAGCTCATTTTACAATGATTTTATATGTGTTTCCTGACAATGTCACTAAATCAAGTCGAAAGAGAAAAAGCTTAAATAACTCCAAATCATTAACGACATGTCCTGTACCGAAATAGCAATTAGAAGCGATTTTACGTCACTGCTAGTTTCTCTTTCGCTGACGTGATCTTTTCGTATCTTCGTTTCGTACATAACTCAGAATTACCTATAAGCAACTTGTTTATAAACAATCTCTACATAAAGATATTTTAATAAATACATATATCATTTGAACTTTAAAGTTAATCGTTTGTTACACATGCCATTGACTCGACATTTTTTTTATGCCATGGTAAGCGACACTGAAACAATTTCCATTGACAGATTTAATGTATTGTATTTGTCTGCTCAGAACATAAAATAAAAAAGGAATATGCGTAGTGACGCTTTATATAATGCACAGAAATGTAAAAACATAAATTAAGGTGTATATTATAACTTACTAAAAAAATACATGTTTGATTTATTTGCTCCATTAAAGCAGTTCAGAAGTCACGATTTAGCAAGTGTCTAAACGAGATAATATAAATTAAGAGCTTTTGCCCGTGGTTTCGCTTGCGTTACATAAATTTAGCCAATGAAATCAAGTATTCTCGGCAATTGTAACTTTTCTGAATGATTGAAAAAAAAATGATTTTCTCTTTGTCGTTTTCTATGCCTCTGACAATGTATATGCAAAAGGTAGAGCGCGTAACAGCTGAACGAAAAAAGTAACAGAAATACATAATTACTTCCTCTGTAATTGTAAACATTATCTCAAATATGTAGTGTTTTCTATGTCATAGGTATCATTAATTTTCGCATTAAACGGAAATAGAACCCACAACCATTGAAGCTGCCTGAATCTTTTGCGAGCATTGTAACCATCGTTGGTTCTCACGAGAAATAATATTGACCAGTTTAACGATCTTACATTTATATACTCGTATATAAATCGATCGGTCGTCTAATCTAGTCTCTTAATATCATCTCGCAGACACGTTCGGTGTTCTTACAATTTGGGCTATAGCAATGCTTGTTTGCAGCGATCCGCATGGCAGACGATGGGGTGGCAGATTGCTTGTTCGAGCGACTCCGGCTGCATCAGCAACGGGCACCTGACTCCATCGAAGTGGCGCGAGCGATCACAGCAAGAATTAATTCACGGCTTACGTCACACGGTAATGATATCTCACACAATACCTGTTTAAAACCTGTACCTTTTTAAAAATGTTTTAGCTTTGTTATATTAATTACAACGTCATTATTATCATCATCATTAACAGCCTATAGTAGTCCACTGCTGGACATAGGCCTATGTCCAGCAGTGGATTTAATTTACTACGTTGTAGTTAGTTAAATTTACCAAAATTAATTAATTACAACGTAAATAAAAAAAAGCGATACAAGTGGCAACTTGTATGGCTTTTTTGTATTTCTGAACAGTTTTCTTTCTGATAAAGCAAACGAACCCTTTAAATGCCTTTAGGATCAGCTGGAGAGTGACCTCTATCTAGACAGAAAATTGTAGGAAGTCACCTAATTTATGATTGAATTAAATAACTAGATTTAAAAAGTCACGATAGTCACGATAACAATACTCGTACATTATGTTCATTTAGTTTTAATACTTGTCTTGACAAATCGAATGACTACAAAATTATTATTTTCTTTTATCTACATAAATAGAGTTCTAAAGTGCCACCCACTCAGATTTTTTCATCAGGCAAGCCCCTTGATGCCATGTTATTGTAATGTTCAGCACGAAAGTTCAACGACTTATTTACTAACATATCAAAACATCACAACAAAAAATACTGAAATTTAAAGAAACTGAAATGAAAAACATTCATTCGTTCAGAGGGGTCAACCAATTGCAATCAATAATAGTGTCTGGCATTTGCGACACTCTCGAGAAAATGTTCGATTAAAAGTATTTTCCTAGCAATTTAAATTCCGATAGAAATTTGGATGACATTTCCGATAGACATTATAACCTTTTTATCCTAAATAGCTGACCCGCGCAACTTCGTCTGCGTCTCTCAATAGTAATAAATTTTAATATTATTTAACGGGAATTAACGCGATCTCTTATTTAGGGTATTACATACCTCTGGTTTGCCTGACGTTAAAAGTTAGTATAGTAATAAATTTTCTCCGTTTTTTAATCTTTCTTCATTGGTGCTCCGCTCCTATTGGTCTTAGCGTGGTGATATATAGCCTATAGCCTTCTTCGATAAATGGACTATCTGACACTGAAATAATTTTTCAAATCGGACCAGTAGTTCCTGAGATTAGCGCGTTCAAACAAACAAGCAAACAAACAAACAAACTCTTCAGCTTTATAATATTAGTATAGATTTAATTTAACCTTTAAATATTCAATTTTCTTCATAAATTTTGAATTGACATTAATGGGGCACCTAACTATGGAATGTCAGTCAAAAACGTTTGTTAAAATGCACAGGTGTGTAGAAATTATAAGTACAGAATAGTTTTCAGATATCTAAAAGATATCATTCCTGTAGATACTTCCTATACTGTATTATTATTTCTTTACGGAGGACTATAAAACACATAGATACATTTTTCCCATGTGGAGATTTAACTGTCAGTGACCAATTAATCATCACGCTGTACGGACAAATTCTTACGATTCCATTAAACTATAATTTCATATGATTAACTCTTTTCCGACCACATTATTTGTACCTTCCTACGTTGATGTTTTGATTACGTAAACTGTCTGCAGCTTGGCAATTTTCCAGATACAACATTTTGATAGCACAGCTCAGTGCGAAAACGCAAAAGTGACAATGGACACTCATTAGTACATGAAAATAAATTAGCAGGAATAAATAATGTGTAGAGAGTAAACGTTAGCAAGAAATAATTTAAAGTATTTTTTTCATATATACGATTTATAGATTCCATTAATTCCCATATCTATATACTTTTGATTTTTTTTATTTTTGTCAAACGTAATTCGTAACGAAGTGACTCGACACAAAAGCAAGACAACTAACATACTCGTAGTTCAAAGTTGTATAAAGCTGAAGGAGCATTGAGCTGGCCATATTACAAGCAGAACCTAACCGCTAAGGTAGAAAAGTTCTTATGTGTAGACTGCGTTAAAAGAAACTTATTGTAGGGTACTGCGGTCAGACGGAGTAACGATCTGCGCAAAAGGACTAGGAAAATCTAGATGAAAAGACCCGTGGATCGTGCTCAGTAGCGTACATTAGGAGAGGCCTATGTCCAGTAGAGGACGATGAAAGAATTATCGTCGCCACCGAATATGCCACTGGTCTTGCTTGACTATGACTTAACTGGAATAGTAAAGTCAAACAAATTGGAGCCCGCGGTAAATGCTGCTAAAACCACCACCATGTGATTGTAATTGTGTATACCAATCGATCAAAACCAAATATAGCTTTTAACGTTAAAATACATTCATGTGATAATAGCACAAACAATAACTGTAAATGTCCTGCTCTTGTGAAAGTCTCACAAACAAAATATCTAGGTGTTATTATAGACCAAAACTTAACCTGGTATCCACACATAGAACATGTCACTGGAAGAATAAGGAAGTTGGGGTGGATATTTAAAACGTTAAGATATGTTGCCCCAAAAGGCCCTAGCAGAAATATTTTAAATGAAATTTATATGGCTCTTGCGCAATCAGTGTTGGTATACTGTATTCCCGTATGGGGCGGTGCGGCTAAATCTAAATTTATTGAAGTTGAACGAGGACAGGGGAGTCTAATAAAAATTATGTATTTTAAAAAGATCACATATCCTACTGATAGTCTTTATAGAATTAGTGACCTTCTTTCTGTAAGAAAATTATATATAGCTAGTGTAGTTGTAAAAAAATACAAAACAATTCCCTATGATAAAGGCTTATTTTCAAAAAGACTAAAAAATAAAATTGCACCAATTCCTCAAACCAAAACCGTATTCGCTAATCGTCAATACTCTAAGCGCTCTGCTCAACTTTATAATCGGGTAAATAAGGAGATATACATACATTCCAAACCACTTCAAGAATGTAGAAGAATACTAGTAAGTTAGTTAAAATCACTTACTTATGAAGAAACTGAAGCATATTTACAATCCAAATAAACACACACACACACACATGCACACACACACACGCACACACACACACACACACACACACACATGCACACACACACACACACACACACACACACACACACACACACATATACATATATATATATATCAACTACCCATCTAAACATGTACTGGTCCCTTCATAACATTATTTAAGCTGGAATATTTTGTATTATTTTTTGTACTTTTGTTTTTCTGTATTGTTTAAGTAACTTTGTAAGAATCACCTGAACACAATCGTATACCAATCGTCGATAATCACAAATATTGATCTAAGAATATAGGATTGAGCCATAGTCTAAGTGAGTAAAGTACAAAAATTTTATTAGACAGCTATCAAACAAGCTTCATAGACAACACTCATGTAACGCTATTATCACATTAACAGCATTTCAGACTTGAAACTTTAAATAAAATAAACACAACATACTCGTGTGAATGTTGCGTGACAAGAAAGAAATAATGGCTGTTGGTTTACAAAGCCACACTTAAAACTTTGTTTCTGTTTCATTATAGTCATTCAATAGCTCCATCCAAACTTCTTTGTGTTAAGTAAATGTTACGCTTTGGCCTAATTTCTCCTTGTTCGATAGTTTCAAAGAAACTTGTAACTGGTACGGCTGCGATAACATCAGCAATTTTCTAACATCCTACAGTTGAATTACGCATTGTGTTGAAAATAGACCCTTTTCAGGCAATAAAGCAATGTCATTGGGGCAACAGATTAGGAAATGATAAAACCAACCAATATTTTGTGAATTTTATCATTCTATTAATTCAGAATTATTTAAGGTGTAAAGGCCTACTTTATTACTTACTTTCAGGTTGTTTCATCAATTTATAAACTAGCGCAGCACTTTGTAGGTCACTACATAAGTTTTGAGATGCTCTAAATTGGAAAATCTAACGCAAAAGGCCATTTACAGCAATTTAAAAAATATAAAAAACATTTGAAGTATTATACTCTCATCATTGCCCGCTTTTTCGTCTGCTACAATGGAGCTTAAAAGTCAATATTTACGTGCTATGATATATTACGACTTTAAATGTGGTTTATCTGGGTTATTTATAAGGTTTAAGCTTAGAACGTTTAAAATCAGTTTTAGGTGAGTCTGTTCCTTCTCGGGCAATCATTTTTGTTTAACCTATTTTAAAGGGATTACTAGCTAGGGATAACTAGGAAAACAAGCCTTGAAGATGATGACAGAAGTGGACGTCCGCCAACAGCAGTTACTGCTTGAAAATGCTTGGACTACTGAAATGCTTGTCCGAGATGACCCACGAATTATATACAGGGACATAGAGAAAATCTTAGGCATCAGTTCAGTTAGTATTCACACCATATTACATGAACATCTTAGAATGAGAAAACTTTGTTGTCTTCGGATACCTTGTTTGCTCCCGAAAAAGATGCCCGTGTGGAATGATGCCGTGAGATGCGTCTAAGTTTAAAAAAAGGAAGTCAAGACGTGTTTAACACGTGTGACGAAACATGGATATCTCAATATGATCCGGAAAGCGAGAAGTGTTCCTCGGTATGGGTGTTTTCAGATGGCCAGTTGCCAACAACATTGCAAAGACCGCGGAATATTGGCAAAAAAAGTGGGCATCTTGCAACATTAATGCTAGATAATTGTAAGTCTGTTAACTCAAAATGGTACACTACAGTCGCATCCAAAAGTTTTCAAACTCAGCAGGAGAGACGACCAAAGACCGGGCTCCGTGGAATGATGCTGTGCGTCTTCACACTCATCCCTCAGAACAAAAGCGTTTATTTAATAATCGGGTATTGAAACCCTACTTCACCCACCTTACAGCCCCGACTTAGCTCCTTCGATCTTCGATCGACTTCTTTTATTCCCCACCATAAAAAATAAGATAAAAGGCAAGTTTTTTTGAAGTGCCGAAAAAGCGGTGTCTGCCTACTAATCAGCCATTTTTGACCAGTCGGAGGAAGACTGGAATAAGTGTTTCCAAGACTAGTTTAGGCGGATGGAAATTTGTGTAGAGAGTGATGGGAAGTATTTTGGAAAAACTA